CAATATCCCAGAGAGAATGCTTTTACCCTGTGTGTACTGGCAAGAAAGCACCATTAACCCTTATCCCAGGTACATTCTGAAGCAAATATTCATTTATGCAAATGAAGGGAAGCCTGTGAATAATAAAGGTAGTCAGCAGGTCTTGAATGCCAGGAATCAGATGTCGTACATATGCAGAGCAATGGAAAGAAACAAACGGTTTATTAAAAGCTGGTTACACATAAATGTTACGCTGAGGTGTATTCACACTCCTATATGCCCACATCTCCCATACAAACATGGTAATCTGCAAATTTACATGTCTGCCAAAGACTGAATGGGTGGTCACCAGCCAGAGGAATGGAAAAAAACAACAGAAGGAGGACAGAAAAAATGAGAGCAATGAAGCGCATCTTTGAGAAAATGTACAACTTCTGCGCTCTTTTCGCTGATGCGGTTTGATAAAGACAGAAAAGTATTTCTCTGTCTTTTCACACTCCAAAGTAAATAGAAACTACCAGAGCTTTACAGCGCCCAAAAGCTACTATTAATCATTAAAAAGGTCCTAATGTCTACTTGCTTCTATTATCCTTTTAACCTGGATGATCAAGAAGAACCCAAGTAATTGATTTCCTAGAAAGAAATGTGTAATTGTCCAGTTATACAACTTCTCCACTATTCAGTCCTGTAACCCTTATTAATCTTAGCTGTCCCATTGATCTGCTGCAAAAAACACATTTCAGGATAAATCTTTTTTAAGAATTTTCTTGTTTGAACTGGGAGAAAATTGATCAGAAAAAAAGATACTCAGATTCGTAACCTGAGATGTTAGCTAAAATTTAGAGTGCAGAGAATTATTTCAATTAAGACTACAGATTGATCAGCCATGTCACATGTCTAACTTTTTAAAGTCTACTTCTTTATACAGTAGAATAATAACAATAACAGTAGGCTGAAGTTTTGGGTTGTTGTTTGGTGTTTTTTTTTTTGCTACCCCTCCTCTGTCTTAGGGGAATATTCTCTGTCCTTCGGTACCAACAGGACTCCATTCTACTTCTTCCCCCGAGTCCTCTCTTCCTATGAGTCTTGTTCAGTTTCTTTGCTTACTCCCTTTCAAAGTGAATACAAAAGCCTGAATAAAACACAATTTCCAGCAGGAACTTTCTGATTTCAGATGTGACATATATTCACAAGTGCTCTAATGCGTTCAGCGAAAAAGTTCATGGTAAAGTTCGACCGCTTGTGCTTTTCGAGTCTGGTTTCAGAATTGTTTACTTAACCAGCTGGACTGACTTAAAATACAGACAAATGGCCATTATGTCCAAATTGCACTGTAGGACAACCTCTTTTACACCTCTTTTGCCTGTCATCATCAAACACTCTTCTCACTGCCCAGATATTCTAACTGCTGCTACTGAAAGCCACAGGGGGGCCATTAAAGAAAGGGATCAAACTAGGACCACTTCCACTCTCCAGGTATGAAGACCTGGGGACACACAAAATTCCTTTGTCCACACCTCTCCATTTCACTGCAATTAAAAGTCCATTTTGGGCAGACAGCAATTCATTTTCCTGAATCACTTTAAGAAAGGTAATCACTTCGGTCCCTCTCTCTTTACTTGTCACGGTGTAGGGGATATGGAGGCGAGTGATCAGATGGCAACTTGTTGGGAAGACCTGGAGTAATTACAAGTGGCCAATTTCTTGGTGCCACCTTCCACACCTTGACACATTGTAAAGATGCTGTTCCCTTTATCTGGGTCTCATCTTAACACAAACCCAACCCTTTCTAGAACAAGGCACCTCTCAGCTCCTGTATGTGGTGGCTAAGCTTGCAGTCACTACTCTCATTCAGGCTCACCACAGAAGGAAGTAATATTATTAGATGCAAATCCTCTACATCCTTCCAAGCCATTGCAGAGACTCAGCGTTATTACTAATGGCTGCTCAATGTGGATTCTCCAGCTGCAGTGGGACATGGCAGCATACATGCCTATGAACCTCCTCACCGTGCTTCAAAGAAAGAAAAAGTCCCAGGAAAGCTAAAGTTGACTTAGAAGCTGGATACGAGTGAGGAACAGCTTGCTTGTGCTTTGTTGTTTTACAGGTAAACGTGGCACTTGACACCTGAAAGGACTTCTGTTCTGCAAACCTCTCCTCTGGAGTCAAAACTCAAAGACAAGTAACTCTATTCGAACAGCACAGCCCCTTGCAAAAGAGATTGAGCAGAAATAAATCCATTACTAAAATAATTAAAAAAACCCAAAACCAACAAGCAACTTTGATGTGACCACTCTAGACCTAGCTAGATACTCCTGTGCCACCCACCTGCTGCAAGGCTGCTTCTCTCCTCGCCTTGCCCCTAAGCCTCATTAAGCATGGGGCAACTGTGGTCCAGCTAAAAGGAAGGTCTATCTGTTATGTGGAACATGCCTATGGGAAGGCCATTCTTAGGTCCCACTTTTGATCTGAATTTGCAGGGTTCAACTTCTGGGACACCAAAGACTGGCATGGCAGAAGGAAGATTACCTGTCGGTGCTGGGTATTGGGCTAAAGAGCTCCCACGGCAGCTTTTCAGCATTCCCTTACTCCGCTATGGTGCTTCAGGAATTTAAGTAAAGCTAAAAGCCATGTCACAGCTTTTTATTCCTCTCTTCATGATCCTATCAGGTCAGAGGTCTTGCTATGGTTCATAAATCTATTCAGTCGTTGCAAAGCTTATATAAAAATTGAACAGTAATCCGCCTTCGGTGGCCTGCCACTGCACTGTGCACTGCCGAGGTGTTAGTGACACCAGAACTGACTCTGGACAAACGAGAGGATCTGTCGTTTAACCTTAGGGATCAAGTGAATGCAGTTAAGATTAAGACACTTGTAACCTAAAGCCACAAAGTTTAATCTACAACCCTCTTCTGCGGTCATTCTACACACTATATAACAGGAATATCACTTTGAGAATAAGAAAAATGAGAGTTCTTGGTCAAATTTTTGGCATTTCCAACACCGCCATGCCACTAAGATTGCAAGAGAAGCAGGCAAGCAGGAACGCAAGCAAGTGTAGGTTCTAAGAATCTGGCATGTCACTACTGTAATAAACAGCTCTGCATTACCGTTTCTTCTATGGGTTTATAGGCTGTCCTAAGTAAGAAACAGAGACAGAACCAAGCTGGTCTTCCGTAGAAAACCGAAGCAGGCAGTCTAAAAAGTGGTCTGCTACACTTATTTGCTAGACCAGCCCGCTGCAGGGCAAGACTCAAACCAGCCTGCTCTAATTTTGCATCCAGGTGGCTCCAATTAACATGCAAACAACTCTAGACTCGTCTGGAGTTCTGCTCATTTTCCTTACGTGAAGTGGATGGTGCCTACTCCAGGACTGCTACTGCTGAGAGACAACGCATTATTTCGCTAGTATATACAGAAGATGGATTACTGTTTATGATAGTCTAATCTGAAACCAATGTATGTGTTCCAGGTCAGCTCCAAACTGGAGCAGATACACAGCAGAGACCCTGGTCCAACGTCACCTACAACTGTGTCGTTCTAAATACCTAAAAAACATCATAGGGTCACGTGGTACTAGTGATTTACACTTTTTGGTATTTACTTTGGTGACACATATGTAACATTAGGTCTACAAATGTTAGTTTCTCTTCAATGGACAAATTGGATTAAAATGCAAGCAGGTGAAGATGTGTTTTGCTGATGCTGGAGCTGAATGCTACTCCAGTTGTACACCAAAGCCCTGAATAATTATAGATTCACTTCAAAAGCTACAACCAAGTTCTTGCCTACAGTCAGCTTTCTAAAGTGAAGTTATATCTACTTAGATATAAACAATCTTAATTTCCAGATTGCTTAAAATCCCCAAAACCAATAAAACCAAAGGAATTGCAAATATTTGCATTTTAGAAAAACAGCCCAGTTATTTAAGAAGCTAATTTCTGACAACCTGAATCCAAATGTTGGCTCTAGACTTCACATGAGTATTATTTTTAAAAAAACAATAATGAAACATAAAAATTATCACATCCCTTGTGACACCAAGTGTTTGCCCATAAGATATTTCTAAAAATTAGGAGACATTAAATATAAGTATTCTTATTTGTAGTTTAAAAATTGTTTTGACAACACTTTCCTTCAGATATTATGCTTAAACCTATTTTAATCAGTTTGGTGCACATTTCACTACTTGTCTACATGCCTGTTAAGTTTTAAGTGGAGTTTATTTCTGGATACAAAACTCTGAAATAACATCTGAGACCAACCTATGGTTTATGGTGTTTCAGTAGTTTATGCTATTTTCATGCTCCTTTCCTGATAAGAAGCTGCCCTACTCCTAGCAAACGTAGCCCCAAGAAAATCATTCCGGAATAGGAGATGGAATGAATCCAGGACCATTTTCTCTCATCTGTTCTTCACACCTCACAAACACAATACC